ACAGAATAAGAGACTTAAAATATATCAGAATCACACACGAGGGTCGGGTTATTACAATATATATATATATATATAAGGAGAGGGTGAGCTTGGATACTCAGTGAATGATATTAGTAATAAAGGTTTAAATGAATGATATCAAAGATCTTTATCAAAACAATACATAATCATAGCTTGTAACAAAACTTGGGATGAATCAGGTTCATCAATCAAATCTTTCAAATCTTCTTGGGATGTTTAATAACATCTACATAATACATGGGGGATGACATTCCGGACAAAACAAAGGAATAATCGACCCGAAATTGATTAGACAAATCCACCCGTACAAGACTGTCGATGGTACCATCTGTACAAGACCGTCTATGGCAGAGATATCTCAACATGGTGCTACATGGGCTTAAAGTCCCCTAGCATGAAAGGACTTTCCAAGAATGTCAACAAAACAAGATAATACTTGATACAAAAGCTAGGGATAATCATTCATACTTAAACAAATACTTTTCCAAAACGAAGTAAAGCTTTATCAAAACTTTATAACATAGCTTTATTAAAAATACCACTCACATAGCTCTTCGGTGTAGGGATTAAGGAAAGGATCCAAGACCTACAAATACATGATAAAGTCTACTGAATGCACCATAAGAAGACAAGAAGGAATGCTCAAGATGGTTGTGCAATGCATTCTTAAAACAAGCTTTACATGAATGAAAATGATCCCAGCATTTCTTTTCAAAACCAAGTCAAGACAAAGTAAAGCATGCTGGGAGTTAAATCACTGTTTCTCATCTAGGGAAAACATGCTGGGTACCAACCAGGTCTTGGAATGGATGCACAGAAATGATCTAGGCAAAAATGACCTAGCTGGGTGAACTCAGGAGGTCTTGGCCGAGGTGTGGTTACCTAGGCTTCGGTGTGCAGCTGCCTACCGAGGTGTTACAAGGTGCCGGCAAGGGTGTACCAAGTCGGCCTAGGTATGCAGTGGTTAGCCTAGGTGTGCATGCAAGATAAACTAACGTGCAAGTGATCATGCAAGGTAGGCCAAGGTGAGATACGATGCTTGGCCTAAGTGTGAGATCTAGGCAAGAGTGGTCTCCTTGTGTGTTGTTGGAAATTCTGGGTTTCTTCTTGAAGAACATGAAGAACATGAATGCTAAAATCATAACTTCTTTATTCAAAATCTGAGATTTCATGAGATGAGTTCGAAAACATGGACCAGGGTACCCATACTTGAAGAACTTATGAAGACAAACACAAAAACATGGATCTTGATACAAACTTTCGAATCAAAACATGGTTTTTCTTGAAGAACACAAGAACATCATTTTCTCTTTCTAAAACCAAACTTTAAATCAATGCATGGATTATGAATCATGCTAGATCGTGCAATGTGATAGGATGAACATAAAGAATAACAAGAGTAGATCAAGAATCTAACCTCAAAACACGGATCTAACGGTTCAAGGTGTGAAGATCAAGCTTGGAAATCTAGTTCTCTCTCTAAGAACTTCTCTTCCTCTTCCTAGAGCTTCTCTCTCATCCTAGGACAAAGATATGACAAATGATATGTTTTCTCTCTCTGTCGGCTGACTTAACCCTCTGCTGGGACATGTGGCAACGACTGGTTGGTTTTCCTCAAAAGGTGACTGAATGACAAGACAAGAGCATGACAAAGTGTGTACAACAAGTAAGGTGACATGGGCACTCCAGCAGGTAATGATCTCGGGTTAGGACATAGGCTTCGGCAAGAAGGTTTCAATGATCTCAGCTAGGAAGGATAACACTTGACCTAGCTGTGCCACACCTCGGTCTAGGTCATACCAGTCCAGGAACAAAATCACTAGGTGCAAGGATCAAAGATCTAGGACGCCAATATGATAACATCTCGGCCTAGATGATGTACATCTCGACCTAGGTGATGCACACCTTGGCCTAGATGATGACATCTCGGCCAATATGCCAAGGTGAAGGTGGAGGTCAACCAAAGTGGTTCCAAGATGGTCCTAGGTGTAAAAGGCTCAAAGGTGTGACCTAGGCTTGGCATGACCTAGGCTTGGGACAACAAGGAAGGAACAAAGCATGCATACAACACTTAGGCAAATCACATAAGCACAAAACAAGACAGGGACCTTTACTTAGGCAAAACAAGTGAAAGTCTACAAATGCAAGCTTAACAAGACAAAATCATGCAAATGCACATGAACATAACTATGACATGAATGTGGGTTATTACACGCTTGTTGTGTACAACACAGAGGTTGTGAGCTAGAAACATTTCAATTCCATGAGGGCTAGAAACGGTACAAGAGGTGCGCATTATGCCGAAGCTCTTAAAATGGTAAGTTCGGGATGGAATAATACGATTTATGAGTGGTACTAACATGTGACTGTGTCCCTTGATTTCATGTGTGTGTGTTTTTTTTTTCTTTTTTGTAGAAGAATATTGTGACAGAAGTGCAATGCGAGTCATTGGCAGCACGTGGAATGGAAGGGCTTGTGGCCGTAAAAGAATTTGACATACCGCTTGAGTTCATGTCTGATTGTCCACAACAACGTCCGAAATCGTAAGTCAAATGTCATGATGTGAGGGTGTTTGTGTGATTGTCGATTTGATAAAACTGTTTTGTTAATTAATTGGTTTTGTTTAATGTACCATAGTTTGGATTGTCCAATAATTGTGTGTGCAATAATGAGGCAGCACATGAATCAAGTGGAAGTGGGAAGATCACTGCAAGGCGGCAACTGTAGCATACTGTGAGCTAACATGTTGAAGTTGTTTGTGAATGACTCGGAACGTGGTTTGGCAAGTGGCCGAGCATTGGCAATAGGTTAAGATGGCAACGATGTCGCACCGTTTTGGTTAGGATGAATTTTTTTTTTTTTTTTGGCGTAGTTAATAATATTTTATGTAAGTAGTTTGCAGTAGTATCACAGTGTTCTGGACAAAGTTAGGTTGTTTTGTGTCATATGACCGGATGTGGGTTTGTTTTTTTTTTTTTTTTGTGGGATAGATTTGTCATTTTTGTTATATATTATTTGGTTAACTTTCAGTAACGACTACAAAGTTACGTTCTATTTGTTTCTTTAATGGTAATGAGTTGCTGCATTTTTTGTTTCAATGTGTATGTCAGTGTGAATCTTTGTTGTTGTTTGTTGAGGGTTATAAGGTGGGCGTTGCGTGTTACTGCTGATGTTACAGCATTGAGCGGGTGGGAAGGGTTGGTAAATGCAAAAGGTTGAGCTATGTTTGGTTATTTTGTGATTCATATGAGCATGGTTAGAGGGTTTTGGGCAAATGTGGCATGCAATCGACTGCATATAAGTGTCGGTGTGAGAGGTTTGAGTAGTGATGTTTTTGTTTGGGTGGTACTGTTGAATTTTGGTGGTGTGATTGGTGTCACGTAAATTCGCGTAATTTAGTGTGGCGGGACGAATTGGTTGGTAGTTCTGATGTCACATTAGTTGGGTTAAATAGTGGCAAAGAAGGGTGTGTTGCCATGTCGTACGCGACTTTTGTCCAAAGTGTTATATGGGTTTTATGTGTAATACGTATGTGTGGGTCGTTAGTTGATGATGTCTGTGTTCAATGTGTGTAGAAGTGCTATGTGGAGAAGTCGGAGTGGTTAATGAGTTGACTCCAATGGCATGGTCAGATTAGGGGCAACAATTTGTCATACCAATTGTACTGCCAGCGTGGGGCTTAGTTATTCACAGGTTTTTTTTTTTTAATTACCTTTTTTGATGTGCGAGTTTGGTGGGGTCATCATGGTGCTGTGTTGAGGTCAAGTTGGATGTGGCATGATGAGATCGTGCAATGTGGCATTTGGTTTGTTGGCGAGAGTCATGTGCGGCACGTTGGTTGAACGGGTGTGTGTATGATAATGTGTACTTTTGGGTTAATTTTTGTAATCTTATTTTGATGTGTTAGTTTAAACTTGTGGGATTTTTTAGGAATGTAGTATATGATCGAATTCGAGGTAGGAAATCCAACTGTGTGGATAGGTTATGATGTTTTTGGTAACATTAAATTATATACTAATATAATGTAGACGGTGGTGGGAGAAAGTGTTAAACATACAACGGGATGTGTTCGTAAAACAATTTATTTGATGGAAGTAAATGAAAAATAAGTTTTTGAAAGTGGAACATAGTAATAGTAGATGTTCATCGTTTTATTGCTGTCATTACATAATGATGACTTTTTATAAAAAGTTGTGCTGCTCGTGCTACACTACTTGACGTTGGACTACATTGGTTCGTTGCATGTCTTCCTGTTATGGTTCCCCATGCGGCCACAACATCCACAATGGATTTGTTGGACGTGTTTTCCCTTTGATAGGAACCGCTTCTTCTTTGGCCTGCCTGGTGGGCGTTTCACAGTAGGGGGCTTGATGATGTACTCATTTGGGTTGAACAATGGTTGTTCCACAGTAGGTTTTGGGGAAATGGCTGGTGCATAAGTCGCACGGTATTCATTCACATGGAAAAACGGTTCGACCAAGTCATTAAGATCCCTACCGCTTTTTCGAACGGCGACCATAGGATGTGTGCAGGGGAACCCGTTGAGTTACTAATGGAAGCACGAACATGCACGCCTGCCGACGTCAACAGTGACCAAAGGGAATGAATGGACTTCATAGATGTCTGCATTTGACGGACTAATTTTCGAGGATCTACCTTTGTTGAAAGCTTTTTCAAAATGGGATTCCATTTTCAGACAGATTGCACCAGTCCATGTTTGTCCTGCCACGCAACGTTTTGACATTTGTTGCATTATTTTGGCTCTGATACTGTCAATCAGGCAGGTAATTGAGAGATTACGTGCCTTGCGTATCCATGAGTTGAATGGCTAGGCAGCGTTGGAGCACATTTCGCCATAGTGTCTTCCACTGTAGATGACAATGTGAGGCAGTAGTTAGGTGTGTGTTGTAATGGGGTAATGGGTGTGTGAAGAGATTTATTAGTAAAGCCGAAGATGCGTACTGGAAGAATGCATTTGCCTAATGTTGTGGGTGCACAGTTTCAAGAAATTGGGTTGCAACCACATGTCCTGATTTGTGGAATTGTTCAACCTTCTGAATAAATGCGTCGACAGTTGGTGCGTATGCGCAATGGCGTAGTTTGCTGATCAGACTAGCACAATGCATGCTATTGGAATACTGTAACCTGTCCCTCAAGTTCCATTGCAAATGTTGGAGGCAAAAAGCATGTTCTGCATTAGGGAATACGGTTGGCATCGCTTCAAGTAAACCCACATTGCAGTCTAAAATGAACGTGAGTGGTCTGGCCACATTGACGACCTGGGCAAGATGTTGGAGGAACCATGCCCAGTTCATGGTATTTTCGAAGTCAACCATTGCGTATGCAAGTGGAAATAAACCTGCCAAACACAACGTGTGTGTTGATCATTTAGTGTTGAGGATGGGGTGTGAGTGACATATGTTGGGGTCTATGTGGGAGAAATGGCGTGAGTTTGTGGGCAACTTGTTCAGTTACAAGGTTAATGGTTTATTGGTAATTGGCAGCGTGATGGACTGACCTTGGTTACCGTCTTTCACAGTGGTGGCGAGCAAGAATCCTTTGAACCGACCCTTGAGGAATGTGGCATCCAAAAACAGCAAGGGACGATAATGTTTGAACCCGTCGATGCAAGCTTTGAATGATATGAAGTATCGGATGAACCTGTGTGTGTGGTCATCATACTCCATGTTAATGTAGCTTCCGGGGTTGTGTTCCATGACAGCGTCACTGTACCACCGTAACTGATCTAACGGACTTGAATGGGCACCAAAGAGATCACCCTTAACTTTTTCGACTCCTAACCACGTGACACGATAAGTAATGTCCAAACCGTAATCTTGTTGTAAATCAAGGATAACTTCAGTGGGGCGTGTGAGTGGCCTGTCACGCACCCGTTCGACAATAATGTCCACAACTAATTCCGACCCAACAAGCAGGTTTTTCAAAGTACAAACGGTGACACCACAAATATGTTCTGTGTTACAATTGCGCAGGTAGAAAAACCTGTTCGCCTCTAATTTTCGGCCATGAACAAACCATGTACACCCATTGGTTTCGTGCATTGTGCAAACAATAATTATATGGACGGAGTCATTTCTCTTGAATTTAAATTGGAACCCACATTCGACAGCAAATTTAAGTAATACGTTATGGAACTCCGAAGCTCCACCTTCAAAATGCTGTCCTATGTGAGTGAAGTCGGTCGCCTATGGAGCTGAAAGGAACACCTTCTCATTGCGTGGGAAAAAAGCTAGTAGCAAGTCAACCTCGTCATCGAAATCCAAATCGGTTTGTGCCCTTGTCTCGTCTGGAAGCGTTGCCCTCATGTTGAACTATTCATTACCAAGAGGATTGTTATTTTCCCCATGATGTTGTTCGATGACCATGTCAACTATCTACAAATGGAACGAATGGGCTAGACACACCATGCTCCGCATGTCCACATCGTTCTGCAGAGCAAAATTGTTATAACCTGGAATCTTGTAAAACAACACTACTTTCCTCGGTAGTAGCACATTGTATTTGGTACACACGAAATTAACAAGGTTTATTAAATTGTATGGCGATTGCAGTTCATATGCAACATTGATAGAGTGGTAATAGCACAGAAACATGAAAGAGGATTCCATCTGTGAAAGTAAACATGCAATTGTTAACGAATACGACCATGTATGTGTCCCGGCCGTAACAGTAAGCATATTTTAATAGCGTTCGTTATAAAATTGATGGAAGCATTAGTTTATTGTGTTAGATGTGTGACACACAGATTGAGATCATGTCCCAATCAAACAATGGTGTATAAACAGTAATGAATGCTAACGTACGGACGATGAACAAATCGCGTCATGGGTTTGTGTTCTCACAGTGACCGAGCGACCACACATGGCAACACCCTCATTGACATGTTGGTGTGACACTACTAGAAGTCAGATTTCCCAAAATATTCACCATTGACATTTAACAAAAGAGATTGATTCTGGTGTGAAGTAAACGTGTATACGACCAGTACTCACCCTGTTGAAAATGTGACATACCTGAATACGACTGACACTATTGACATTGCTTATGAAAACCCTCGTCCACTTCGCGCACAAAAGTGATGCAAAACCCTCTTCCCCATCTCTCCTCTGCAATCATTAGAAACAAAATATACCCCTCTCTAGAAACGTGTGATAGCACATTCCAAAACCACAGAAACTCTCTGCAAATAAACTAATGAGGACATATCTATCCAACCAATATCTAGCTACATTTGAAAAAGGACTTCTTGGTGACAGTTTACCACTACAAAGTACTTGGCAATCAAACATTTGGAACGTGGGACCAACTGGTGCAATGATTCCCAAATCAAGACTTTTCAATAAATTCCCTTAAAAAAAATCTTCATATATTGACATTTTTCTAATAAAAAAAAGAAAGAAAAATATATAGTTTTACAATTATCGTCGACGTTGTTACATATTTTGTTGCTTAATAATTGGAATAGCAAGAGCACGAGTTGGATTTGGATCCCAATCCAAATCGGGTGTTTATATCAACACTGTCAATTATGTTGTTAGTTGAATTGGGAAAAAAAATAGAAAAATGATATATATATATACATAATTTTCATATAAAATTTAAGATAAAAATGATATGGTAGTGATATTTTTGTAATTATATACCAAAATGATGGGTATTTTGATGAATAACTATAAATGAGATATCATTTTGTATGAGTTTTATGTATACAAATTTTGTTTGTATAGCCACACAAAAAAATATGAATACTTGCAAGAAATAAAAATTCCGTAATACACTCCTCCTTTTCGGGCATATATTATAGGCCTTTACTTATGATGTTAGTAATTTTTAATTATGATATATTATGATATTAGTTATTATGACTTAATTATATATATTGTGGTGTTAGTTATGACTCATTATGATATTAGTTATGACAATTATTTTGATTTTGATTCAAAATGTATTTATTTATACCTCATATGTTATTCAGTAATTCTCAATATTTTTTTTACTTTTGACATATATTATAATTAACTCCATAAATGTCTTAACTCACATATGACACATAACTTTTAATTCCAAGAAAAATTATGTGATTATTTATTTATATTAAAACAATAAGTCAACAAATATCTAACGGACAACTGTTATTACGAAAAAAAATTAATTAAAGTAGTGTTGTGTACGTATTAAAATACATTGAAGATTCAATTAAATCAACAATTGGCCTTCATAAAATGTACGATGAATTCAAATTGAATTAATTTAAATTAAAAAAGAAATGGATACAAATTTGTAATATAAAACTACTTGAGTGATGCAATTCTCCATTGCCTTTCCCTTTTTGAACCAATGCACACTTTCTTTTCAATTGATTCAATGGGATCGATATTTTAAACAATGGTTGCAAATTTTGATCAATTTATTTTTAACAGAAGCAAATATTAGAAAGGTCAATCATACCATAATTCCATCAATTGTTAGTGAGAATCATTTTATTTTTTATTTATAAATGCGTATGAATTAAATCTCTCAATTATAAAAATCATAGAAATATACCTCTTTTGAATGTGGTCTAAAGAGAATGAAAGTAATGTATTTTCAAAATTTAAAGAGTTAAAATATAAGGGTTTATAGATAAAGGAGTCAATTAATATTTACAAATAATTGAGGACTCTTAACTCTGTCGGGATTGTTTAACAACTCTGTTAGTCCCACGCTTGGGTAAAGAAGGAGGTTGTGTTTAAGGTAATCGACAATCAACACATAAAAAAGTTCCTCGGATCCCTTATGAAAATGAATCCTACTTTGAATCGATTAAATGTTAGGTCATTCCCCTTAAGTGATGCGTTGCATCTGCCTTTCAGTGTTTCAAAAAATGAGTAAGGGGTACCGCATTGACGCTTGGATACGGTGAAAAATGAGCAAAGGTTGTCGCGTTTTCTCTGGACGAGTGCAGATAAAGAAGCTAATCCAAAACTATAGGTTTAGAGTAGCTACATGGAATGTACGAACTTTAATTCGTAAGACTATGAAATTGGTAGATATCATGATTGGGTGGAGAGTTAGTATAGCTTGGGTACAAGAAACTTAGTGGACAGGTGAGAAAGCTAGGGAAATAGAGGATAGCAGTTTTAAACAATATTATGGTTGCAATGATACATACAAGAATGAGGTAGGAATAGTAGTTGCCAAGGGTCTTATACAAAATGTAGTTTCCAAGGGTCTTGCACAACATGTAGTTGCGGTAATTAGGAAAGATAATAGGATTATGTTAGTTAAACTAGTTATTGGAGATAATATAGTGATCGTTATTAGTGTATACGTCCTAAGTAGGATTAGATGATCAGATTAATAGAGATTTTTTGGACCAAATTGATGAGGTATTACAAGACATAACTGTAGAGGAGAATCTAGTTATCGGTGAAGATTTCAACGGCCATGTAGGAATCGATAAACTAGGTTATGAGAGAGTGCATTTTAGATTTTGCGTTAGTTTATGACTTGGTGGTAGCCAATACAATGTATAAGACGAGATAAGAGCATTTGATAACCTTTAAGAATGGGTCAATTAGGAGCCAAATAGATTACTTTCTTATAAGAAAAGTGGACCGTCTAAAATGCAACGACTATAAGGTGATTCTTGAAGAGAGCCCAACGTCTCAACATAGGATCTTGATACTAGATTTATTCTTTATAGGGTAATACCGAGCTAAGAAGGATAGTGGGCGTCGTAAGACGAGATGGTGGCACCTAAAAGGGGATAAACTAGAAATATTTGAGAATAGAACGGATATAGAAGGTACTTGGAACTTAAAAGATGATGGTAATACTATGTGGAACTCGATGACCAATTATATGAGGAGAATCTCAAAGAAGTCCTTGGAGAGTCGAAAGGAAAGGGACCCAACTCTAAGGAAACTTGGTGGTGGAGGGATGGGGTTTAAGCAACAGTAAACATTAAAAAAAAAAGTTCTGTAAAAAGTAGCAAAGGCATAGAACTGAGAATAACGTTAAGAGCTACCGATTGGTTAATAAGGTGGTTAACAAAGTAATGAAAAAGGCTCAGTTGAATGCCTATGATAGCATATGCACCAGACTAGATAGTAAGGATATAGAGAATATAATATACAAACTTGCTAAGATAAGAGAGAGGAAAACAAGAGATTTTAATCAGGTTAAGTGCATCAAGAGTAAGGACTCTATGATGTTAGTGAATGATGAAGAGATTAAAGAGAGTTGAAAGAACTATTTTGAGAAGTTGTTAAATGAGGAACGTGGAGGAAGCTCAAAAGGAAAGGAACTAGCCAGTAATAAGGAAAACCAAGACTACAGGTTCTATTACAGGATTAGAAACTTTGAAGTGGAGATTGTACTTAAGAAGATGAAATCGAATAAAGCTTTAGGACCCAATGATATTCCTATTGAAGTTTGGAAATGCTTGGGTAAAAGGGGGGTTGCTTGGTTGACTAGGTTATTTAGCAAGATTTTGTTAACGAGGAAAACACTATAGTGTAGGAAGAGTATTTTAGTGACAATCTATAAGAATAAGTGAGATATCCAGGATTGCAATAACTATAGAGAAATTAAGCTGATGTGTCATATAATGAAAGTGTGAGAGAGAGTGATATGTCATTTTGGTACCGCATTTTCTTCAAGAAGTGTTAGCTTCTATTTCGGCATTGTTTAATTTCAGGGACGAAATTTCCTAAGGTGGGGAGGTTGTAATGACCGGTACGTAAGTTTCCTTGTTCTCTTGAGTTATGTTGGATTTACTTTCATTAAAATGTCAGGTTTTAAAGTGTGGTTCTGTCAACGGTTGGGCTCGTTACTTTTGAAAACTTCTCCTCAAAATTTTCGCTCTTGTTTGTTTCAATTTCGAGTTTTCTCTTGTTTCGGTGGATGCGAGGTCGGGTCTGGAATATCGGGAGTTGAGTTGAAGATCTTCCGGGCTGGAGGGCCAGGGCCGCACGTGCGGGGCCTTGGGCCGCACGTGCGGGAAACAGGGGAAAGCTTTGTGCAACACTGCATTATATGCAGGTGCGGGAGAGACCGC